TTTTTTTTTTTTTTTTTTTTTTTTGGTCCCAGGGATTGAACTTGGGTCCTTGCGCTTGCAAGGCAGGCCACCGAACCATTGAGCTAAACCCCCAGCCCGAGAATAATTCTTTTATATTTTTTCAAAATAACGTGAAGATTCCATCTAACTCAGAAAGAATGGTTATCAATAAGTAAGTCTTTTTTCATATACACAACTTATAAGAGGACAAAATTTAATGTCCCTTTTCAGAAAAACAAAAAAGAAAACTTCACTTAACAGGGTATTTTAGTGAATGATATGAAGTTTATTCTTATTATCATAACAATACTAATATTTAAATCACATTTACTTTATATATTTATCAACATATAAATCAAATAGGAATCATTTTTTGTGTATTTCTTCTTCAGTTCCATTGTATTAAATAGAAATCAACTCAAATGTTCAATCTCAGAGATACTAACAATATACTTTCATCACAGACATAGCAAATGGGCCCAATAGATTCAAAATTAAAAATTGTCAAAATCTGGATCCCATTCACTAATCTGAATTTTCCCAAGCATTGCACTGTATTTAGTTGATATCCATGTTTCTAACCACGTACACATCAGAAGTATGTTTTAAAATTATTTCCATTTTTCTTAGTAAAACTAAAATCAGCCCCCTGATATTATTTCTCCTTTTGAGGGTGAGCTAATAGATTACAGGAATGAAGGAATGTATAACTACAACTGGAGAGATGCATAAGAGAGTCTTTCCTGAATTATAATGTTCCTAATCTTTCAGTTATTTTCCTCTGTGACCTATGGGTGTCCTTCCTACTGAGGATGCAGCAGGTGCCACACACTAGTCTGTGACCTAGCACGAACCCCATCAAAGGGACAGCAGAGTGAGCAAAGTTTATCCCTTGTCCATGCAGTGACAGGGAAATCCCATAACTTGCACTGTTAATTGGAAAACTTTCCAGCATTCTCCAGGCAGGCTGTTCACTTCATGATCTTACAATTTTTGCCTTCTTCATACACTTTGTCTGTTTCATAATTGTAATTTCACAAACGCTATAGAGATCCAACACTATCCATTTTGGGTGAGATATCTATCCCAAGCATAAAAAGTGAGGGAGGAAATTAAAAGTTAAATTAGTTGTCAGCTATACACAATATGACAAGAAGCATGAAGTTCACAGTAATTCTAACTGAAAATTTGCAATTATCATCCTTCCTTTGGCTGCTCAGATGATCTGTTTGTCTAGATGTTTAGGAAATAAAGTATCAGATAGTCCTCTCCCTGGGCACTTACTGGGTAAAGTTGCTTATCTGATGGATCATGACCAACCAGTGCAGACCCAAAGCAATTTCCCGGTTGTGAACTTTAGATGCTTGTTTCTTTCTCAGGTTGATGTGAATACTGCATCAGATATAAATTTCCTTCTATAGACACCTTGGATGAGGAGACCCTATGTAGGCTTCTTAACTGGTACAATCAAACTGAAGGGCTGGAGACACATACTGATATTGACTACTAGACAGCCCTGGAGGCTCAAGGCACACAGCTCATAATTAGCCATGTTGGTCCATGTATTGCAATCCCTATGGACTTCTTAATATTGTTGGAGGAAAAGAACAAGAAACTAAAATGTCCATCACACATTTGGAGCTCTTATTATATTCAAGTGAAAATATCTACATACTATTTACTGGATTTGATTCTTTTCTTTTAAAAAGTGGTTTTTCTGTATTTTACTTCCATTGTGAATTATGGTAAAATATATACAAAAATCGCTATTTTCATCCATTTTAGGTGCACTATTCGGTGATATCAATCATGTTCATCATGCAAGAGGAGTTACAGGGTCTAATTTGTATAATTCAGTCATCTTAAAAAAAAGCAATAACAAGGGGGAATGTATCCAAACAGGAAGACATAGAGCATAAAATGCTCCAGAGATTTTAAGCAAGATCTGTTTTTGGTGTTTATTTGTTTGTTTGTTTTCTTTCTTAATCACAAAGTTGAATCACTCAAAATTTAAGACATACTGACTTCCATGGTCTAATGAATGCCAAATGAGATATTAACGTGTATCTCAGGACCTCATGGGTGTTCACACAGGTGTGGGCTTTCAGCTGAAGCCCACTCAGAAACATAGGAACAAATGTGTTCTCAAGGACTTTTTGCAATGTCTACAGAGATCTAACCAGGATATCCCTTATATTACTTCCTACTCTTGTCTCCATCTTATTCACACCATAACCAAAGTATCAGAGTTTACACGCCCAGAAGTCACTGCTTCCTCTCCAATGAAAAACTCTAGGGAACTTGGTCCAGAAAAGCAAAAGCAATAGAGTGACCTCGTTTTTTCCCTGGATTATTCTCCCCAAAAAGAACGGCCCAGAGATTTACTGTGATGTTCAGGGGAAGGTCAAATGCAGTGAGCAAACCCCTAATTGAGGTCAAGATTTTATAAAGTAACCTTTTACTTTTTTCAAGGCTACTTCATCATTACCGCTAATTACAGAGTCTTAGAATCTTCAGTTTCAAAGGGATTATAAAGTTTGTGTACCTCCACAAGAAATACTCATGGAGTGCTCATTTCCACATCTCCAGGGGTGAAAGACGTATTACCCCCCAAGGAAAGCCACCTCCTGTTGTCATTGTTGTTGTTGTTGTTGTTGGCTCTGGATGTTTGGAATGACCTTTTTATTTAAGCTGTGAAATCCCTCTGCCTTTTCCTGCTAGGTTTAATTTGGCCCTGACCCAGACTAATGTTCCAACATCTGAGGTTCTCCCGGCCTCAAGTTGGCTCTTGACTTCATTCAGCACCACCATTTCTTTAACAGCTCCTTACAATATGGTTCCAGTCCTCTCTCCTCACTGCTTCCATAGAGCCTACTTCAACTTGTGTTCAGAAACACAGTAGAGGACTGTGACTCAGTAGTAGAGAGTCCATTTCCAGAAATATTTCCTCTCCCCAAACTGAATATTTGTACCCAATTTTAAAGTTCTACACTGCTTCCTCTCCCAACCATGACAATGACCAAACCACCATGAAACAAGTTTACAAAACACAGCTTAACATCCACATCACCTCACCCCACAAAGAATGGCTGCTATGAAGAAATCACACAATAACAAATGTTGGCGGGGTTGTGGGGAGAAAGGAACCCTCCTCCATTGTTGGTGGGAGTGCAGACTAGTGCAACCACTATGGAAATCAATATGGAGATACCTCAAAGAGCTTGCATTGGAGGTTCCATTTGACCCAGCCATCCCTCTGTTGGGTATCTTTCCAAGAGAACTAAAAGAATCATATCACAGAGAAGTATGTGCACCCATGTTTATAGCGGCACAGTTTGTAATAGCTAAATCTTGGAAACAACCTATTTGCCCATCCGTTGGAAACTGGATAAAGAAGTTGTGGTTTTTCTATAAAATGGAATATTACTCAGCCATAAAGAGCGAGAGAATAGATTCATTCATAGGAAAATGGATACATATTGAAGATATACTCCTAAGTGAAATAAATAAGTCCCACATGTGTAAATACCAAATAGTTTCCCTGGTGTGAATATTCTGCAACAATGCATAAGATTCTAATAAGATTACTGACATTTAGAAATGGGAAGAAAGGAGCTAAAGGTGTAGGGAAGGTGTGATGCATAGGAGAAGAACAAAAAGGAAAAAGAAAAAAATGTGAGAGAATGAAAAGATGAAAATAAAGTGTTTGTAGATGGGGAGGGGAGGAGGGGGTGAAGGGAGGGCAGAGGTAAGGGGAAAAATGAGAATCAAGACTTGCCATGTAAAGGTACATGATCCCAACAATGAATGTAACTGTACTGTATCCCTAAATGTACCAATAAACTCAATAAAATTAAAAAAAAATAGTAGCAAGAGGGCATGACTTACAGGTCTATGTGCTTACTTTCATGGTGAATCCAAAAGAATGCCAAGGATGTGAGACTGGAGTATTCTCCTGTGGAGTCTCCATAAAGAGCTTTCAATTTTCCTGTTCCTCAGGCTTCACATGAAGTGATTTTTCAGAGGGGTGGTAGAGTGGGAGACACCAAAAAAGGTGAAATCTAAGTAAGCTACATCAGGGTTTATTCTATAAAAAAAGTAAACAGGTGAAATCACAGGTGGAGAATGCATTGTTTTTCCTATAATCATGAGTATTGAACAGTGAAGTAAAGGAATATTAGGAAGAGAAAAACATCCCTGAGAGGAGGAGAACCAGAGATGGCACCAACAAAATACATGACTATTTTATTGGTGAAGTTGTCAGAAGAAGCAGGATTAAAGGCTTCAAAATAGAAATTTCTATAACTATGAAGATTATAACTATGTAAATTATATATGATTAAATTGGCAATGTGAAATAAAAGAGGCTACCCACACACTCCCACACACTCCCACACACATAAAAATACACTCAGATGGAAAAGCCACAATGTCAGGGTTCGTAATGACTAACTAATGCAGATGACATGCGGCCTGTCCTTCCTGAGGTTAATGCTGGAGGTGATATCCACTCCCCCTTCTGATCTTGCAACAATTAAAAATGAACAGCCCATTGAGAAAGGGATTTCTTCCTGGAGAGTGAGAAAAATGAAACAGCAGTTAGATCCATTTATCAGGCCCATTTCCAGCACACAAACTAAAACAAGAGCTATTTATCTTTTTTCTCCCCATAATTATCCATATTGGTCTATATTATTTTAATCTTGAAATTTCTGAAATTCAGTGAAAGTTAAGAAATGAATGTCACAAAGATTTGGGGCTATTTTTTAAGACAGAAGACATATTAAGAATATCATTATCTTTGGTTTTGTTTTTTCCTTTTTGAACCAAATCTTCAGCTTTTTAATTCCACTGTTCATTGTGGAAAGATATACTTATCTAAAGGAACCATTTTAAGTGGTTTTAAGTGCAGAGTTTGATTACATATATTTTACTACTTTTTGCAACCATTACACTTAGCCACTTCCCCAATTTTTTCACTTTCCCAACTGAAATTTGCACCTGTATGAAGACCAATAATATTACCCCTCGGACCCCTTTGATTCTATGATGAAATATTGTATAAAATTAAAGATGTTAAAATTCAGTAACAATGAAACTAAGGGTAAACTATTTAAAAATACAATTTCTTTTATTTTTATTTAGTTTCTTGGTACATTCTAGGTATACAGTACAGTTACATTCATTATTGGGATCTTGTACCTTCACATGACAGGTCTTGGTTCTCATTTTTCCCCTTTTCCCTGCTCTCCCTTCACCCCCTCCTCTCCTCCCCATTTACTAACACTTTATTTCCAATTTTTTCATATTTTTTCTTTTCCCTATTCCCTTTCCCCCACCCTTCCCATTTTCCCTACAACTTTAGCCCTTTTTTTCCTATTTCACATTGTTAATTATCTCATTAGGATCTTGTGTACTATTATAGTTTTTCACAACAGAGAATCTATTCAATATTTTAAAATAAGTTTTTTATTTTCTCTTTTACAACATTTTCTAAACTACTTTCCAAATAAATAGTAAAGGGATTAGATTTTCCAAAGGTAGAGCCTCTTCAGGGTGCTGCTGATGTCCCTGTTCCTCAGGCTGTAGATGAAGGGATTCAGCATAGGGGTGACCAGAGTGTACATCAGTGAGGCCACCATGGCTTCTTTGGAAGTATGTAATGCACTTGAACCAAGATACGTTCCCAGGCTTGTTCCATAAAATAAGCAAACAACTGACAGGTGAGAACCACAGGTAGAAAAGGCTTTGTACCTCCCCTCAGATGATGGGGATTTCAGGATTGCAGAAACAATTTTACAATAGGAGAAAATTATCCCTGACATAGGAAAACAACCAAATAGGATACCAATCATATATGTGACTATGTTTTTGATTAATATATCAGAGCATGAAAGGTCATAGAGTTGAGAAGGGTTACAAAAGAAACTAGCAATTTCCACATCTTTGAAACAGGAAATTCGTAAGGCAACTAAATAGTGAATCTGAGAATCCAAAAGGCTAACTAAGACTGACAGCAAAACTAATAAGACACAGCGGTGAGGGTTCATAATGACTGCATAATGCAGGGGTTGGCAAATGGCCACAAAACGATCATAGGCCATCACGGTAAGAAGCATGTCATCTACACATGCAAAAAAGATAAAAAGAGAAACCTGTGAAAGACAGCCCTCATAGGAGATGACCCTGCTGTTAGTTGAGATGTCCACAATCAACTTTGGAACTGTAGTGGAGGTGAAACAGATGTCAGCCAAGGACAGGTTGGAGAGGAAGAAGTACATAGGGGTGTGGAGGTGGACATCAGAGGTAACAGCCAGGATGATGAGCAGGTTCCCGAGCACTGTGACCAGGTACATAGTCAGAAACAGTCCAAAAAGAATGGGCTGCAGGTCTGAGTCCTCTGAGAAGCACATGAGGTAGAACTCTGAGACATGTGTTAGATTATGTCCTTCCATGTTGTTTGAGCACATTTAAATAAATTTCTCTGGAAAAAATGGAACAAAATATATCATACAATGATCTGCAAATATTCTGAGTTCAAATATCCATAAGCAAAGAATTCCCACAAGAGATCCATGACCTTCAGCAGCATTGCTCTATTGTGACAAACTCCACCATGGAGGACTCACTGTTGGGTGGTTTGTTTTCCACTCCACTTTACTTTACTTGTCCTCTAATGGACAGGGTTATCAGACCAAGGACACAGAATATTGAAGTTCTTTATCATAGTGAAATGCAGGAAACCTTTTCCAAAAAGTACAGAGGGTAGTTAAGCCATCCACCTTTAAGAAAATATGATTCTATTGGAAGAAAACTGGTAATTATTGAAATATTCCACATTTTATACCACAAAATACTACAAATTACCTTGAGTAGGTCATCTACAAGTACTATAAAATTTAGGACTACATTATCTCAAAATTAAATTCAAGTTAATTCTCTTCCATCAGAATATTTTGTTTTGAGCCATTGTGTAGAAAATGATGAATTTTTCATTATTCTTGGTTTCTTTTTCTTATTTTGTCTTTTAAGTATGTAAGCACTTACCCAGCCATTGTATACAAATTGTATGTAAATTTTGTTTGTGTATAAATTATTCAATATAAAACTTTTATCTTTGCCTTTGTTGTACTCAAATTTATATATCTCAGATTCCAATACATGCACATAATCTTTGGACATAATCACCACCAATATAGATTGGTGTACACTGTATATAACAATAAAAACGACAAATGATAAAAAGCACCTTTGGGGCCGAGGAGTAAGCTCAGCATTTCGGTAGCCTGCCTTGCAAGTGCAAGGACCTGAGTTCAATCCCCAGTACAAACCCCCCCACAAAAAAGCACCTTTGCCTTTCAAATTTTACACAATTGTATTTCACCATAAAATATCAATGAGCTATCTGCTATATAAGACACCTCTTCCCTGACTCTAGTCTACCATAGCCTGGTAATATGCATGACTGCTATTCTGATCATAAGACTTCTTATATCCAGTTGATAACATTGGAAACAAAGAAACTCCAAAAGCCCTGGCTGAGACCCAGCCTTCCTATTTGTAAGTAACAGATTTCAGTCGAATTTTTCCTATTTCAGCCATGTGATGAAAACTGAGATCTATATTTTCATCTAGCCATTCTGTTATTTAATTGGGGAAAATCCCAAAATAATACATGAAATAATGTAAGCACACCTTAAAACACAGCTGCAAGAGAAAAAGGTACTTGAACTCTTGTAAACACATGCAAATAATATACTTCTCCATTTCTGTATAATGGGGATAAGAATTACCGACCCTATGTAGGTACTGTTAGAAAATACTTTATAAATCATTTAATTCACATCACTGTTGATTCTAATTTAGGCATATATTTATCTGGATATATTGTTATATATCCAAATACTCTAGGCTTAGTGTAATATATTAATAAAAAAGTAGATTTCTAATTTTTGAGTTCCTTTCTTAAATTAAAGCTGAGAACCACTGTCTGAAGATATTCACTGGCATTTGGAAAATCTCCCATTCATATTATCTTTATAGATATTAGCATATAAATATAGAATTCTATTTTCATCCTCATTAGTATTCCTTAGATGTCTGAACAAATACCTAAAACTTCGAGTACTTCCTACAATTTCTTTCTCTCCTGTCCTCAAAAGAATCTGTTGTCATGATTTTTATGGGTAGATTTCTGTGTCAATGTTTCCAGGTCAACACTTATTTATGAATCCACAAGCAATTTTCTTAAAAATTTATTTAAAAGAGGGGCCAGTGATGTAGCTCAGTGGTGCTGTCACCTTCCTCACAAGGACAATATCTGAGTTCAATCCTCAGGACCCCCCAAAGAAAGAGCCTGTCTTGCAGAGAAGACCTCCCCTCGAGAACACCCTTCTCACAAAAGAGCTGCTTCATCGCTCTCCAGAGAAGAGAAGCATAAGAGGAAGTGCCTGGCGCAGAGACTGATTCCCACTTCATGGATGTGAAGCACCCAGGACACCATAAAAGCACCATAAAAGTCATGCATAGATGTAGGCTACTCCACTCTCCTCTTCTAGGCTACAGGAAGAAAAGCAAGGCTCACAGAATGATCCTCCTTCAGGAGGAAGGAAGCAGCACTCACAGTGCCCTGCTTCAAGATGATTGGGAAACCAACCAATGAACACATTTTGGATAAAAAACTACCTGAAAGGGACCTAAAACTCATCTAAATAGAATGTTACAGAACATCTACTGCCCCCAAACAGACTAGTTTGTAACCATATGTAGTGGTTTTAGGTCTTCAACCAATTTGCTGCCTTATCAGAGAGGAATGAGATTTAGGGAGGAAAAGAGAGGCCTCGTTTACCTCGTAAGTTAATTATTATGATAATATTTTCAAAGTTCTTGTGCTCCTTTCCCTGTCACTCATAGTAAAAATTGTTATATAATATATTGCTGTGATATTTTTCTGATTTCCAACAAATAATGCACAGAAATTTTCAAATTTTGGCAAGATAGGTGACTCATTTTACCTACATCCTCTTATTCCTCATATACACCTTCAAGATATGCCTGACATCTTTCCAGTAATGATCTCTGTATGATACCACAAAAAGAAATTTCATCATCACACAAGGAATAACATTTCCATTTCCCTTCAGTTTTGGAGCCTGTGCCAAGGGATAGCACTGAAGCAATGTGCATGTTAGACCTGTGTCACTGACCTGTTAACGAGGGCAGAATGTGTGTGAATCTCTCTTCCTCTCTGTGCTCATAAGCTAGAGGAAAATAAGGAGAATAACACATATCCATATGTGTAGCAACTAAAGAAACTTATAACTTAATAAATTAGCAATTGTGAGATTTCTTAATCTCAATTGCATTAATTTCAATTGCATTAATTTGTGCTGTGACCTTTACAATTTCCTCTCTTGTGTGGGCCTTAGGACTTGATCTGTTCTTTTCCTAGAAGTTTGTGGTTCAATATTAGGCTGTTTATTTGAGTTTGCTCTGTTTTCTTTACGTGAGAATTCACTGTTATAAATTTTCCTTATAGGGATGTTTTCATTGCTTCCCATAAGGGAGGTTTTGCTTTTAAAATAAATATACAAACGTAAGCAAGTAGGAAGTGCATTAAGTATAGTAAACTATATTTCAATGGAATTGGAGCCAGAAATGGTATGACGTGTTTTTTTTTTTTAATATAAGGTTGAAGCATACAGTCACCAGCTCGATCTTGGAAACAGCCTATTTGCCCATCCGTTGGAAACAGGATAAAGAAGTTGTGGTTTTTCTATAAAATGGAATATTACTCAGCCATAAAGAGCGAGAGAATAGATTCATTCATAGGAAAATGGATACGTATTGAAGATATACTCCTAAGTGAAATAAATAAGTCCCACATGTGTAAATACCAAATAGTTTCCCTGGTGTGAATATTCTGCAACAATGCATAAGATTCTAATAAGATTACTGACATTTAGAAATTTGAAGAAAGGAGCTAAAGGTGTAGGGAAGGTGTGATGCGTAGGGGAAGAACAAAAAGG